GACAAATCTCTCACAGGGAACTCTCTTCCAGGGCTGAGTCTGGGCACCAGGACCCGCGTGCAGGCAGGTGAGTCTGTCTCGAGCTATCACAGGTCCCTCCTCAGTGGAGACAAGGGGACAGCCCTGGGCAGCTGGGGATGGAGAACAGCAGTTCTGGGCTGACTGATGGGGACATGTGAGAGATCCTGGGCTGAGAGCTGGGATCTGAGGGGTGGGGATGTCTTGAAACCCAATCTCTGATTTCCTTCCAGGGACCCTCCCCAAACCCACCCTCTGGGCTGAGCCAGCCCCTGTGATCACCTGGAGGAGCCCTGGTACCATCTGGTGTCAGGGGACCCTGGATGCCAAGGAGTACCGTCTGGATAAAGAGGGAAGATCAGAGCCCTGGGACAGACAGACACCACTGGAGCCTGGGAACAAGGCCAAGTTCAACATCCCACACATGACAGAGCTCTATGCAGGGCGATATCACTGTTACTATTACAGCCCTGCTGGGTGGTCAGAGCCCAGTGACGCCCTGGAGCTGGTGGTGACAGGTGAGAGGACACTCAGGCTCCCAGCCCCATGCTCTGCCCTCAGGAAGGGGTCTGCTCTCAGGGTGTCTCCCTGTCACAGCCCAGCCCTGGGGGTGATGTGGGAGGTGTGAGCCCATTGACCACGGCGCCTCCTTCTCTCCTAGGATTCTATGCTAGTAAACCCACCCTGTCAGCCCTGCCAAGCCCTGTGGTGACCCCAGGAGGAAACGTGACACTGCAGTGTGTCTCACAGGAGGGATTTGGCAGGTTCATTCTGATCAAGGAAGGACAGAAGCTCTCCTGGACCCGGGACTCACAGCGAACCTCCTCTGGGCAGTTCCAGGCCCTGTTCCCTGTGGGCCCTGCGACCCCCAGCCACAGGTGGACGTTCAGATGCTATGGCTGGTACAGGAACAACCCACAGATATGGTCAGTTCCCAGTGACCCCGTGGAGGTACTGGTCTCAGGTAAAGGGATTTCATCCTACCCTGTTCATTTCTTGAGACCCCCAAAAATGTCACTGTGAGCCTTACTTCCGGGGCAGCCTGAGGTGGGAGGGGTGGTGAGCAAACAAAGGTTCCCAGGGCCACAGGCCCAGAGTGTGAGAGACAGCGGGACCTGCAGGGCAGGACAGGACACGGGAGGTGTTGGGAGGAACCAGCCCCTGCAGCCCCCGGCCTGTCCTTCCCTCCAGGTGTGTCTAGGAAGCCCTCCCTGCTCAGCCTGCAGGGCCCTGTCCTGGCCCCTGGACAG